CACTACATATTACAATGTGTTTTAATTTAAGAACGTTGTGTAGAAGGATTGGTTATACCTCTGCGTTTCCTTTCCTACTCTCTATGCATATGCAAATGCCATCTCGCATCCTTGGGCTCATCTTAAAAAGGTTCGCCAGACACTGGTACAGACCAAACTTCATGACAGCATCCCCACCTCCCTGCTTTCTCCTTCTTCATGTAGGATGAGGTCTCTTGCTCCACCAGCTTTGGCCAGGAAATTGTGTAGGGTAAGCTGCTGGAGCACCAAACTCTGCATGTTCACCTTTTTTCCAACACCAACATGAGAACCTCCATGTTTCAAGCCTCATGCTAGAGGATGGCCTTGTTGGGAACACAGGGAATGCAGTTTTTAGGGGTTCCCCTGAGGATGGACATCTAGGAGAAGGCATATTTTCTACTGTCAGTGCAAACTAAATTTTCTACCCTTTGCTCTACAACTGTAAGTATCACTGAGCAGCCACATCTGACACTTCTGGCTGGGTGAGAGGCTATGGAACAAGGCCATAAATGTGCCAAGGTACGAGTATGGCAGTGGGAAGGACGGGAGAGAGGCAACAAGGGGATGTTTCACACTGAGCATGGCAAGCCTGGAGGTCTGAAAAGCCTGTTCTCACCAGCGTAACTGTGTCTATAGCAACATTTTGGCCAGCCAGCCAAGTCACTTGAGTATTTCTGTAGGCTCCTCACTGACACTGGTGCTGACCAACGTTTCCACATTTTTGCCATTTCTCTGTTCTTTGGGGAAGAAAGCAAGGAATGATCCTGTTCTGCTCTGCGACAAAAATGTTAGGCCTTCGGAGAGTGCAGCTGTCATGGTGTCTCTTAGACATGATATTTAATATGACAGGAATAGTGCTGAGTGAAAGGGAAGGCCAGGTGGCGTGCCATGTGGGAGCACCTCTCAGCTACAGTCAGTATCTGTGTTGATCCAAGGGCCATAGGTGGGTTCTGCAATGCTCCCAATCAAGACTTATTATCTACCACAGCCCTTAGATCTCATCACCCTGTATTGAACCTAGATACCTGTGCTTGACTAAAGGCAAGTCTGCACTGACTGCATAGTGGTGACTGCACCTTTATACTGAAGATAATGATGGAGCCAAGCAACACAGAGCGTGCTGTAATCTGCAAAACCCCTTGGAGATGCAGGCTGGCATCTTGCATGGTTGATCTGTTTGATTTCTGTGCTGAGGATGAGACTGCAATTGGGTTAGCTCACCTACACGGGTGGTAGGCACCTATCAGTTGTAGCCTTCACAGGTAGTGATATCTTCCAGGAAGGCTTCAGCTTTTTTTTTGTTTGTTTTTGCTTTTTTTTTTTCTTTTTTTCTGAAGATCTGTTCCCTGAGCAGTATTTTTCCCAGTAATTGGAAATAAAAATAAATAAATAAATTCTCACTGTTCAAGATGCACTGAGACACACTGCTCAAGTTTTATCTCTGGTTCCCATTTCCACCACTGACTCTTAGTCTGCCTTCTCCTGAGGGCTCAAAAAGCACCACTGCACCCTGTATACAGCAGAGGTGTAATGCCCCTTATCATCGCCTCTGAGAGACTCCTGATAGCATCTTGTTCAAGAAAAATAGATTTTCACATATGCTCAATATCGGATTATGTATTGGACAGTATCAGTTCTGGCAGTTGCTATTGCAATTTCTATTTTGTCATTTGCACCCCTCTGTTGTCCTTTTGTTAAAGTAACACCAAGTGCGACAACCGAATCCCTTGTCTCTTACCTTGAGGTATCTTAGAGCCAGGCAAGCTGCCTTCTGCAGCTGGAGGTTGGGCTGGGTTAGGGCTTCACAGTAATAAATCAAGGCCTGGAAACAGATAAAGAAGAGTAACCATGAAAATGTGGCTGTGTGGGGCAGCAGGCTGGAGGCATTGCTACCCTGATGGACAGAGAGGGCTTGCTGCCCTTCTCCTGACAGTGTGCATGTGGGACCAAGACACAGCCCTGGTTGCAGGCAAGGTGATGGGTAACTCCCTACAGGGACTCCAGGCCAGGCCACTCATTATGGCTCCTTGGGAGTGTGTTGTCTTGGGCCAGTTTTTGATGAGTAAACATTCACATCCATGTGAAGCACAGTCTGGCACCCCTGAGGGCCTTTATACCATGAGTCGGTAAAGAGCAGGTGGGACCTGAGGTCTGAACAGCCCAGGAGCTGACCCTTGAGTTGGTCTTTCTAATGTAGGGGTAGTGAAGAAAAGGCTGAGATGGGACTCAGCCCGAGGGACTGAAAGAAACTATTATAAGGTTGGCAAGAGCTGCTAGATCACTTTACTCCTTGGCCCTAAAAATTACTAACTTGCTGAGCAAAAAAAAAGCATGAGCAGCTGAACTTGTTGGCAGCTGGGTGCATAATGCCTTCATACAAGGCACTTTGTGGTCTTTCCCATAGGCTGTGAACCAGCTATCAGCTACATACATCCATTCCAGGAGAAGGTTGTTTTTCCCCCAGATGCTGCCTCCATGAACATGGGAGTTGGAAGGATGGCATGAGATATCAAGAGGCTGCAAAAATGGAAAATGAAGTAGGAAGGCAAGCAAAAATTGGACTGGAGTGACAGAGAAGAGCAGCAAAGGGTGAGCTCCCTTTTTCTCTTCCCTGTGCCTTCCTTCTGCCACCTTTCCTCTTCCAACTGCCCTTCCTGTCCCTCTCTCCTGACAAGGAACAAGAGGATAGTAGAGAAAGGTCTGCCACGAACAGGTAGAAATCAACCCCTAACTCCTTCTTATTCCTCTTCTCCCATCTCTTTAATTTCTGTGTTTAATCTGGCCCTGCTTGTTGCCTTCAGTATCTGTGCTAGACTCCAGTCTTAGGTGGAAGATCCCATAGATGTCAGACTCCTTTGGGAAAAAAAAAAAACACAACCCTGAAACCTACGTCCTTGTGCATTGATGATGCTGGAGCCTTGCCACGAAGCCAAGTCTGAGATAGGACAGCAGAAATGTTGGAGTGTGGAAGACAGATGGAGACTGCAGCATTTGTATGTGCACAATTTTGGTTTGGTACCTGTTTAGTATAATGACAGGTAGAAGCAGACTGACATAATGACAGAAATAAACCTGCCTATTTGCAGAAGAATTAGGTGGGAAATCCCTCTGGATCAGTTTAAATCAGGCTTGGAGCAATTATTTTATATATGTAGGCATTTGAGACACACAAGGAGAAAAAAAAGTCATGATTATACTGGTCCCTTGTGTGATCGGTGATTTTCTGCCACTTACCTTCTCCCTGAAGTGCTTGTTTTCTGCAGTAGCTGTCAGAAGTGACGCCACAGTCTCACTGACTTCATTTTTATTTTCATTGAGAAGTAAAGCCAAAGCTCTCAGAACTTCTTGCTGTGGTGGGAGGTTATTGGAATTTATTTTGGCCACGTTTTGATGCAGTTTTCCATCTTTCACAGACTGCAGCATCTGAACCACAGAGGCTAGAAGTGCAAGAGGAAGGTCTTTGTTACTATTTTTATCCTTTCAGTATTTCAGATTGTTCCTTTCCCCACCATAAATCCTCAGTTTTTACTACACACACAAAATACAGATGAAAAATCCCCATGTGAGCGTTGCAGCATTGTGGTGTGTCTGCACAGGGAGCCGTCTGGGCTTTAGGACGGTTTCTCTGACATTCTTAAAGGAGGGTATGAATAGGTGGGCTAGATGCAATGCTATGGCACTTAAATCCTCACCAGAACACGGGAAACCCAATATCCTAGCTAATGTACTGACTTCCAGGGCATCTTTGTGAGAGTTTTTCCTAGGAGACTGATGTCTCCCACCAAAAGGCAGGGCTAATGTGTCTTAGGAGTGGGCTGAAGTGCCTTTTTCCTTCCAGGCTTTTGATAACAAGCTCTCCAGTGGGCCCAAATAAAAGGGAAAACTAGGCAAGGTTCCTCAAACTGCCTCTCAACTCGAAAAGAAGAAAACCTGGCTTGCCAGGAATTGCAGTCTACACTTCCTTGCCCCCTTTCCTCCCTCTTTTCTAAAATCACCCTCAGGCCTGAACTGTTTTGTGCTGAGCACAGAAGGATGTCAATGTATTTATTCCCTGTTAGACGCTGTATTTTGCATACCCTACCTTCTTTTGCAAGCTGCAGCAAGTAGCTTCCGAGATCATTAACGCTGTGGCTTGCAAAGTAGTTGTAATACTGAAAGACGGTGATGATCTCCGAGGACATGGTGGAGTAGAGGACGGGCTCGGTCCGGTCCAGGATCTGAGACACCAGGATGCGGAAAACTGCAGGCAGCCAGGGACAAAATGATGGGTTAGTGAGAACAAAGCTGCTGGCATTCCTGCCTGAGTGTGTGGCATGCAGAAAGCTAGCCTCAGACACTGTCCTGGAGAGCAGCAGGGAGGGAATCACTGCCCTGGGTGGGCACATGCCCACTTCTGAGCAAGTCACCCCTGTTCCAGCCCAGGGAGAGCTGGTCAACATAGCTGGAGCTCAAGATGTGGTACATCCCACCCCAAACAGCAACCTATCTTCAGGCAGACATACTTGAATGCATATAAATTTCATCCTAGTGAAATGTAATGGGGCATGGACATTACATAAATACATGTAGGATTAAGTAAGAGAATTCCGACGTCATGGTATCACTTACAAATCTGTATTTGGGAATATGCTTTCCTAATACCTGATAAACCTTAAAATGATGTGTTCACCCTTTTCTCCTATTCTGATATAATTACTTCAGGCCTAAACTGTTTCAAGAGTCTTTGCATTGGTTTTCAAATGAGATCTTGGAGCCATGCCCAAACAGACCTCAAGGGGTTGGAAAAGAAAGCACTGACAGCTGAGTAAAGCCCAGTATGCAACTGTTCTCCATTTTGGTGACAGATAATATATATATATATTTATTTTTTTTCAGCAGGTGGTACCTGTTTCTGCAAGCCCTGGACATTCCTCATTCACAGTGGTGGCAAAATTAATATCCAGCTGCTTCATCATCTTGTCTGCAGATGTGTGATACACTCCTGAAGGACCGGTACATTTCATCCAGAAAGCCAGCAGCGACAGCTTCTTGTGGAACTCTGGGATTGCTGCAGGAGAAAACAAGATGAACCATGAAACACAGCTGTGCTGGGAGCACTGTCACCCCAAATAGAAAAGGTGATAGGAGTGGAGGAAATCCACCCCATCCCACTAGTAGATCACCCTGGGTCTTTACCTTCACAGGGAGTGGTCACATGCTGACCCCAAGTTTGTAATGCGTTGTTTCCTTTTCCCACAGGAATATGTGAGAAAATGTGCTCCTGATCCAGTTCTGGGCACTGATGTCTCATCCTTTTAAATACCGTGAAATATGAGGGGAAATACTAGGGAATAAAAATGGTCTGCATGAGGCTGGCCCTTGTCCTAGCGTTGCTCTGTGGCCTTGGGTAAGTCACTCAATTTTACCTTAATTTTCTGATGAAGTAAATACACCGTGGTATATTTACCCAACCTGCCAGAGTGCTTATGAGGGTGAATAACTAAGTGTTTGCCAAACTCTTCCAAGGTATTAAAATAAATGCAAGAACAACAAAAATATCTAAATAGTTCTCCACAGAGATGGCTAAAAATAGTCTTTGGGATAAACCATTTGAGGAATTGTATTATGCCTTTGATGGAACAAGGCAGATCCAATCTTTCCTCAGGAAAGAGGGGTGGAGGTCAAATTCGGCTCTACAGAGGTGGCAGCATCCCCACCCCATTGCAGCAATTACCCGTGCATATCAAGCAGGATGTTTATTTCTGGATAGCCGTGCTTAAGACAGAATAAGATCAGCTTTGGTGACTGCTGCTTCTGTTTGTAGCTGTGAGATGTCCCTTGCTGTGGTGGCATTTTCCCCAGTCACAGCGAGCTCTGTGCAGTGATTATTTCCTCAGGCACACATGCCCAAACAAAACCTTTCCAGAGGAAATCCCCTGACTTGTCTCTTACCGTCGGTAAGGGAGGTGATGTTTCCCAAGTTCTCAGTGCTGATCTCTGCAATGTTCTCCATCACGAGGATCTGCCTAGACAGCTTATCCAGGAGGTCTCTTGCCACAAATGGTGTTTTGCTGGAGAACACAATTTGCTGATGGAGACAAGTGGGAAAGGAAGAACAGGAGTCATTGAAACCTCAGAACAAATCCTCCAAAACACCTGCTACCTAAAGAAGCGCAAAGGCAAATTCATTGCCTGGATTAATAGGATCTCCTTAATCTCAAATGTTTCTAATTTCTGTGGTATTTTATGGTCCTGGTTGATGTGCACTGTCACTTCTACTTTTAACATCTGTGTCCAGATCCAGACACCTGAGTACCCATTTGCATAATTTCTGATTTATACACTCCGGTAAGCTAAGGAAATCTGTCATTATAAAGCTTAAAGCTGGAAAGAATTATTAGTCTGATTTTCACATAGCATAGGCCATGGACTTCCAGGATGTACCTGCCTGGAGGCAAGCCACAGGTTGCTCTTTCTCTGCTCTGTTTCAGCTCCGATCACCTACCCCACTGCCTGCATTTGCTTGGTGTTTTCCCCTGGGCTTGGTATTTTCTCCCTGCTGCTGACACCTGCATTTTCTTCAGCAGTCCACTTCAGTATCATTCATACAGAATCTGGACAAAGCTCAAGCCTGCCTCCCCCAGCTGCATATTTACAGCATGTTCTTGTATTTAAGCCAAAACCACCCTTTTTCTCATGCTTGTGGGTCAGCAGCGTGTCCAGCTCAGCAGTAAGGGTACTGGAATCAGGATTGCTCTGTACTGCTTCAGTGGGCTTTTTGGGGGAAAAAAAATAAAAATAGCTAATTATATCTAAGGTTGAAGAGTCAAATAATTGTAAAGAGAAGTTGTGATACGTTTTGATTCACCAACAAAACCCTGATGCCCTCACTTGCTAGAGCGTCTTGCTGGAGGTTTAAGATCACATTTATTGTGCTTAGGTTCTGAAGAACCCTGCTAAAAGGCTGTGCTAGTTAGTCTCGAGTATGAATGGATGATTTTGATCTCCCAGAGGGACTGCTATGTGCTTCCTTTGCTGTGGTGTGGACTTTGCGTGCGGATGATTTAGAGCAGATTCTTCTCCCCCTCATGCTGCAGAAATGGTTTTGCTTTTGAGGCTTTTGAGCCCTGGGCTGGGTCAGCCAGTGGGGCCACGGGCTCCTCCTTTACTACTGAAAACCTGAGATACCTGAACTGGGGAGCAACCTCCTGGCCAGGACCATCCCCTGGTGAAGCCAGCAGAGGTTCCTTGCCCAGAGCAGCGCCTGCCCCTGCCTTCTGCTGACCTGCACCAGCAGCACCTGCTGTGTGCCCCGCGGTTTGCTTGTCAGCTCTGCTCCGAGCTCTGAGCCCGGGACTGAAACAACAGGAGCTGTTGTGGTACCTGGATGAGCTGCGTGCAATACTGCAGGTGCTTAACTATGGTGATGTCGAGGCTGTCGTTCCCCGTGGTGAGTGGCAGAGGGCTGCCGGCAACGCTGGTGCCGACACCCGTGTCCTCGGTGAGGGCTTCGCTGAGGTGGCCCCTGGCTTCGGGGTGCTCCGGCCTGTAACTGCGGAGGGAGGAGGAGGTCAGTGGGGGCCGGCGGCCGTTGTGGCAGACAGACACAGGCTCACGCAGCGAGACGGGCAACGAGCACGGGAGAAGAGCCGAAAGCAGCGCGCTGGGACCACACAGCCCTTGGAAAGCCAGAAACCTGGTGCTGAAGACATCATGTCACACGTGAGCAGTGGTACCCGGGTGCAGAGCTGGGTGGGGACAGGTCGCTTCCATGGAGCCCTGGCTCGTTTGCCTTGAGCAATGCCAAGTGAGCCTCTTTAACCTGCGGCTGCTGTCGCACGTTGGTGCAGAGCCCAGGAGAAAACACCCTTCTGCTGACAAATCTTCTCCCCCGCTGGCCAGGACGAGGCAGCGTTACAGCTTGTGCCACCTCAAGCACTGAGCTGCTGAGAGCAGATCGAGGCTATTGGCACCTCCCAGTGCCAAATTTAGGACTCATTGCAAAAAGAAAGGAAAACCACTGCTGGAGTAAGAGACATGATGTTTTCATAGGCCGTTTTAGGCACACTGTGTACAGCTGAGTTTGCCAGTAGTTTCTGTAAGAAGGTCAAGCTATTCTCACTGTGTTTTAAATCATTATTTCCAACTTTGTCGTGTACAAATGATCCTCCCTGTGTTTAAATGCAAAGCCCAAGGTCAGTCCCCAGACTGCAAGCGTGCTTGGCTGCAAGTTCAGAAGTGTCAGCACTTGTGATCTTTGCACTGAGTCACACACGCATCTAAAAATGGAAGCAGGAATCCACGCTTTCTGGGGATCAGCCCAAGGGGAAAAAATGGGATTTTAACTTCTACTTTAACTTAAAGGTTTTCATTAGTTTCCAAGTTAGCTTAACAGTAACTTAAATTTCCTTTGCTTAAGTTGAACTTAGGCTGAAGCGCCTGGTTAAAGCCAGATCTTAAATCCATGCAGACTGAACTGAGCTCAGAGTGCCAGTGTAGCAAGCAGCACAATTTTCCAAGTTTTTCTTCCCACCAAGTCTTAGTCTGGAGGGAGACAGCACAGCAAGATGGATGGGAACTGAATGGTCATTGCTTGTTTGTGCTCAAAACTGTTTTGAACAGGCCATGATAAGATGTGAGAAGTATCACTCCCTTGTTAGAAAGCATGGGATTTTAGGGAACCAAGTTAGAATTTGCCTTTTTTTCCATGTCTAGTGCCACATGTGTGCCTGTTGGGCTTCGTGTCAGTGCCGAGGATGCAAACATGCTTTTAGGATTTAATGATTGAAACACAGCATCTTACGGTCACACAACAATGGCAAACCACGACACAAAACAACACAGCTTTTTTTTTCTTTTCTTTTTCTTTTTTTTTTTTTTTCTTTTTCCCTCAGAAAGACCAGAAGTGATGAAAGAAGGGCAGGTAACACGCAGGGCCATGGACAGAGTACCAGTCATCACTCTTACATTCCAAAGGAAACCTACACCATGCTGCTTAAATCTGGCCCTGTGTTATTGTTATTGACAAGCTTAATCCACTGCAAAGACTCATTCGGCTAGAGAGAAAAGACAAAGGGAGGGGGGGGAAAAACCACAGAGGAATTAGTAATTACATCCAAGGAAAACCAGGTCCAAACCTATGTCAAGGAAGAGGCTCTGCCAGTGTTGATGTCAGCTTAATTTAATTCACCCATATGTTTGGGGGAAGTGGGGGCAGATTATGCATATTTGAACAGGCAGAAAATGATCCTGGAAGCTAAAGGTTTGGTATACAGCAGCCACAGGAAACCCTCTGACCCTATAAACTCCTCAAGGATTAGTTGGTCTTCCTTGAATAATGTGTGCACCGGGATCCTCTGTTAGTGACAAAGAGCTAGGGTATCAGTTTGGCGTAAGCATAGCTGGCACTTACTACAAACTTACCTATTCTTCTCAATCTCAGTGTCTGAAAATACTGAGTCTGCACCTCCTCCACCATTACAAACCTCCTCACCACCACCATCCTCATCATCAAAGTCAGAGGTGTTCAGGAAATCAAAGCTTTCTAAAGCACTTTCAACTGTTAGACTTAAACTGGAGGACCTGCTTCGGGTTACTGCTGGCTTGCACTGCAAAGGCAGAACGAACCAATGAAAACCCCAGATATTAGCTACTACTGAAAGAAAAATAAATAAATAAATGATAAAGCTTAAAACTTTAAAATTCTTCATTTTATTTTTTAAACTTCATTTTATTGGGTATTTCACTTCAAACCTTCATATTCATAGCATACACAATCAATGCCTGAGAACTGGAAAACCCTTCCCTTCCTCCTCCCCTCCCCATCCTACCCCCTCTCTTCCCCGAAGGAAAACCCTCAAAGGTGAGATTTGGCGTGTTTTATAGAAACAAGGAGTACATCTCGAGTCCAAGCGACACAGCTTTCAGCATCTTCCAGAAGGAGAGACAGTAGTTAATGCAATGAAAGGTGAAAAGGAAAGGCACATTCCATGATTTCTGTTACAGGTACAGGAGCTGAGTTATCTGTATATATCCAATGGCACTATTGAATTTGTTCCAGATGCAACTCTAGCAGAGCTTAGCCAGGAATGAGTTTGGTCCCATATCTGCAGATGGATGAGAGGACTTTTGTGGCCATTGAAGCCACGTGGCTTATCAAGGAAAAGGCAATCACACATCAGATGCCTGGGTGACAGAAAAAGGCAGTATCATAACCTGTGAATCAACAGCACCTAGAGAGGGGGGAAGCCATCCTATCTCACTGCTGGGAAGAAACGTGACTGCAGCCTTGCTGGTGCTGTGGGAAGTATCAAAGGCCCTGGTCCCATGTGGAGATTCATCCAGACGTGCCCATACACTTGCTTCCAGGTCACCTTGCAGGAGCAGATGATGAGTCAGTAACTTGAGGGCTCACCCTGTCGTTGGTTTGTGCAGTGACTTCTTACATCTTGAGCCCCACGAGACTGACCAGAAACAGCCAGGAGCCAGCGGTGCAATTCCAGAGTTGCATCTTCCAGTCCCGAGTAAGAGACAGGACTTTGCTTCGTCTTGTTAAAAAAAATCAAGTTGGCCTCCAAGTTCAGGCTCAGCTATCCCAGGCTTGGAGTTTTGTTTTTAATTTGTATGCACAAATTGTATGCTAACATTTACAATACTTGATGCCCTAAACTGACCACACAGTCTTTAACTGATCAAACATACTCCATGGCACCTCTGTAGGGGTTGTATCCCACCTACCCTGCAGCACGGATGGCTTCAGCTACTGTTCATTTTGGGGCTGGCAGTGCAGCTTCTTCAGGCAAGGGCAAACAGCGATATGTGGGCTTCTCATTTTCTGTGCCCATCTGACGTGGCCAAGAGGGCTTTCTTCAGCTGCAGCTGGATTCCAGCTCCACCTTTTGGCACGGGGAGCCCAGCGCAGCTGCTGGGGATGCCGAGTGTTGGTTTGCAAGCTGGTCAATAGGCCACATGCAGAGAGTAGATCTGGAAGAAGTGTCTCTCTCTGGTGTGCAGGATTTCTGTCTGCACATGTCTGTCCTCCCTCTCCCCCCATCCCGTGTCCATCCCTTTGTAGCTTCTGATAAAAGGAATGTGAATGAACAGTCTCTGTTGTCCCTCTGCTGTTTGGACAGCTGACCTCTTTTGTTCAAGCTCCAGAGCAGTCACGATGTTAAAAAATAATAGCAATGGTAGCTTTGCCTGCTTGAGCTTACTGGGGTATAGTGCAAAGATCAGGGGCTGCAGGTTGTCAGAAAAAATAAACAACCTGGGGAAGTACCATACAGCTGCAAACACTGATTGAAACAAAAATGTTAACAAAGTTGTTTTTTTTTTTTTCTTTTCTTTTTGTAAAAAGATAAATTCTTCCCTCCTTTCTCTTCAGCCATGTTTTTAAGTGATGAGGTTTAAATGACTAGCAGACCAACTTGCATATGAATATGAAGCATTTGAAATGATTATTTCCCATATAATACTCTCTGCACAGTACTGCATCGTGAGTTATTATTCATGGGGGAGATATGAGTCACAGTGATTGGCAGTAAACATTATCAACACACATGCAAAACCCTCTACTTCTTTCTTCAACATATTCGGGTATAAAGACAGGATGTCTCTCACTTTAAAAATGGATGGGGAAAAAAGGAAAAGGCTTGCAAAAAAAAATGTAGGCAAGGTAGGAATGGCAACGTTCAGTGGGACTTGTACATCTAAATTGGTTTGGCAATTTAGAAAATTCAGCTTCTACAGTTACAAGGCCTGATCCTCAGCTGGTGTAGTTTTGCACAGCTCTACATAAGATCAGGGGTAGTATGTCAAACTACACCCACCAAGGATGTGACCCGTAGATTTTAAAGGCAGAAGATTGGCTACAATCTGATCGCCAGTATGGCACAGGCAACAGGTTCTCAAGTGGTTTCTTCAGAGAAGGGAATAATTTAACTAACCCTCTGCCATAGTGCCTTTTTCTCTTTCCCCTGGGTTTCCAGTAAAGTAAAAAATCCATTGCTTGAGGATAAAAGGCTATGGCCAGTACATTGCAGACATGAGTTTAAAAACACAACACTGTGAAGGGATGTGAAGGGATGCTCCAAGAGGAGCAGATCTATCGCTACTGAGGTATTTTACTGGTCTCCAAAACGTCTACTTTGATGTTTGCGAGGAATGGGAGGAGATTCTACCCCGCTCAGATTTTCTTTAGGGTAGTATTTTCTGAAAACGTACTCACTTTTAGGATGTCATCCAGATGCATCACTTCCTGATCCAGGTCCTGAAACTCTTTATACTGCTCTTTGTGTGGCTCAAGAGCTAAGAGAAGCCCTTGCAAGGCTTCTTCTATGCTTCCATCCAGATAAGACTTGTAGCCTTCTGACTCCCCACTGATGGATCCCTCACACGGCAACCTCTCCAGGGTCATGGGCACCTCTACGGACGTGAGCCTTTTTACCAGCTGCTTCGTGATGTTGCCCTCATAGGTATCCAGCTCCACCGGCTTCAGCTCTGAGCCTTCATCTGTCTCCTGCAGGAGGGACACCGGGACGTTTGTCTCTATAAAGACACGATCACTCCCAGCATCGGAGGGTTTTCGGCAAACTTCAGAAGCCGCCCTGGGGACAGCCTTGTTCTCCACCACTGCTGCCTCTCCCTGTGACGGCCGGTCCTTAGGCTCGGGGATAGAGTCTCTGCGGGAGTCACTGCTGCTGCAGTCCGGGCTTGAGCTCTTGGAGGAAGGCTTGAGAGCTCGGCGCTGGGTGGGGGTGGCGGCGATATCGGGGCTGGAGCTGACATGAGCAGAAGAGGACCCCGGTGAGTTGGCAGGGGGCACGTGGTCTTCATAAGGCAGGTCACCAAAAGTGAAGGAAAGAGGCCGCTTCTCAGTGGTTGCCGTGCCATTTTCAAAGACGTCATCTGGCAAGTTTGACTGAAAGGATAATTGAGAAAGAGAAAATGGTTTTTTTTTGTGTCTAACTGGAAAGAGAAAAAATAATACTATGTTTCCAGGTGGGACAAAAAGATTTGAGAAGCATTCAAGATTTGAGAGATGGAAAAAAAAAAAACCAACCACAAACATTTCAAATCCAACTTGTGCTTGCATCTGTCACAACCCCTGACCTCAGCAGAAGTTCTGCTGGGCAGCTTGGGTTTAGCATCTCTTTGTGGGCGGGGTAAGCCAAGAGCTTGGTAAGTGTGTCCCTTGAACACAGCCCCAAGCATCTTAGCAGATTGACTCTGGCGTCAGTTCTGGGGCACTGCCCTATTTCCTACAGGACAGCTCTCCTTGCTGGGGTTGCACTTAAGCTACCTTGGCTGCATTTTCATACCTCTTACAGATTTCTGCTGTATTGATTTTCTGATAGTAATCCCTAAACTGTAAAACAGGCTGCTCCAAAAAGTTTCCAGTGTCATGGCATTTTAACGGTGATATTGCTGTGCTATTTCTTTATGTTGAAAGTATGTTCTGCATGTGGCTGTTGAACACGAGCTACAGAAAAGTCATGTTCAACATCAGTTTCTTCTGAAAGGAAACAGAAGAAATTGTGTGATAGTGTATTAACCAGGACACTGATCACTTAGGAGACACAAACTGGCTGAGCTATGGGGAAAACTCACTGCAGGTGTCACAACCTGCCTATCTGACCTACACATTTTGCTTTAATGAAGTACTGCCTCATGTAAAACTCTCTTACTGCACACCGGAGAGAGTTATAACATTTCTGCTGTCTTCTTCCCTGTCATCAGGTTTGAACCATCTCAGAGCTGTAGTACAAATCCTTCTATTATTTTATGCAATTTTTAGAACAGAGAAAAGGCAAAAAGCAGTAAGGAGCGAAAATACGAGACCCTATCTGGAGCCAGAATGTAATAAATCAAAGCCTGCAATTTCACACTGATGGGTCCTGAAACAACTTTTAGCCTTCACTACGTGGCAAACTCACACAAAAGCACAGCAAAGATGAACACAACTTCTATTTTGCTGACAATTTGCTGGAAGGAAATCTAGGCATTCACATGTTGGCAAAGGACACAAGGTTAAAACGTCCAAAACTTGCATCATTTTCCCAGCAGCTTTTTTTCCCTAAGCATACTGATACTCAAAGGTTCATTTCTTCTTTCGCCCCACATGGGTATGCTTTCAGCCTCTCCTTTACTGCTGAAAGTCACGTTACTCGTCAAATGTCTAATATCAATTTGTATGGCAGGACATTTTTAAAAATACCACGTTGGCTTGTCCTCCTGCCCTGCTCTCCTCCCCCAGATGGTTGGCTTCTGACCATTATCCCTGTAGACACCAAGAGGAACTTTGATTTAATGCGAGCAGCATGGGCTCACAGTCACGTTCTCCCCTTCCATCAGTCAGCAAAATAGGCGAGTTGCAACAGAGAGCAACACACAAAGCATGCATGGGAATGGAGATGCCACACGGGGACTGAAAGACTCCTTCACCAAACAGAAACCAGGACTCACATATAGCTCTAGCCCTGCCTTTGGGCTTAGCCTGAGCGATGGCAGGTCACTAAAAGAGCGACTGCGCCGAAGCTTGTCAAAGAAAGTGTCTTGCAGAGCATCTAAGATTGCCAACTTTGGCCTGTCTTGCAGGGGATGCAGCCATTTCTTCAGCAGTTAAAAGCAAACAGGGTGTGAGGAAGGGCAAGTTAATTGAATGCTTTGTAGCAGAGTACTGAAATTACAGGCATGGGACGTAACACTTGTAAAATTCATATCTCTACAGATGGCCTATTCAGGTTAATACACAGACCTGATTAAGCATTCAGAGTTTGATTCATGCAAAATGCAAGAGCACCGTATGAATCTCTTTGGTACAAAGGCAAATTTTACCATGGCATACATTAAAAATAATAGTGCTGTAATGGTTGTTTCACTACCGTTACAAAATGAACACGCATTTTATAAAGATTACTCAAGTATTATAGCAGTCGGGCAAGATGAATAGGTGTGCTGTAGTTGGCCATACGGTGCCTCAAGGATGCCAGGATCATGGTCACCTTCTTTTAGGATTAGCAGCTAGAATTGCATTGCGCTTGCTTTATAAGTATTTGAAAGGGTAGCCTGCTGAAGCCAGGGGAAAAAGCGTAGACGTGTAAAGCAACGAAGCGTTTGCAGTGTTTGAACTGCTCTAGGGTTTCTCATTACATAAACATGAAGCTAAGCAGGGCTTACAAAGAATGAGTGGTCCTTGAAGGTTGGCGTTTCTGGAGTGCCTTGGCTGTACATGGACATTCTTCTCTGGAGAGCAGATGCCTTGCTCACATTTCCTGTGGAGGGGGTCAAGTCTTCTACATCGAAGGGGCTGCAGACACACAGGCAGGAAAAATAAAATTGTTAGGCTAAATGAGAAGGAATTTCTGGTCCATGGAAAGAAATTTTTTTTAAAAGGTGGTTTATTAGCACATCAAAACCCAGAGGTAGCTTGCTTTTTTTTTTTTTCAACTGAAGTGTTTAAAAGAAAACGTTGTTAATTAGACAGCAGGCTCAGAAGTGTGGTTTTCATTTCTGATAAAAGCATTTTACTCTCAGAAATCATTTATGTAGCATTGTCTGATATAATTCTTCTCACATGCAAAGTATTCTTGGATCTGAGTTGTCAAGCATCATACACGATAATGAGAGAGGTGCTCTACTGTTAACAGAGCTGCTGCATTATAAAGGAAACCAGTTGCTGTTATTGCTGGCTTCGTGTTTATTGCATTACAAGAAACAGCATACATGACTGCAAAAGTTAAACGTTTCTTTAGGAGCAACAGTCACCTATTTTATTAAAAGACACTGAAAATGGGGTTTGAATCCTAACTGTTGGCTCACTCATGCCTCCCAATGCAGGTGGACAATGCCAAGAGATTTCCCACCAGGAAATCAGGCCATGTATGAAACCCACAAAAGCCAGCTTTTAAACCAGTTTCTTCTACAAGGATTGAAGAGACCACATAGACCTTCTCTGTTCAGTTGATTTATTTTTTTATTATTATTATTATTGCTATATTTTTTTTAAACAGCTACTTCACCCAGAGACTACCCAACCTATTTTTACTTACTACCAGGTGATTTCAAGGTTCAGCTTTATTGTGCCAAGGTCGTTAATATCTACTGCAACCACCTGAGGTCGAGCTGCAAACAGGTCTTTTGTTTCACAGGTAACACTTCCCACAAGGATGTGAGTAGCAAGTCCCTTCACTTCTGTGACCTGTAGGAGAGAAGAACAGGATATTTAGGACTATACAAGGTGTTGTAACCCTTAATTACAAGGTAATGTTTTTATTTTTCCTGGTCAGGACCCCTTGCTAAAAGGTTTCTGAGATATGGATGTTTGTTGCCTCTTTGGGGAAAATAGATTTTTTTTGTTGTTGTTTGGTTGTTTTTTAATAAGTGTATAGCTGCATATAATTATGCTTACAAAATGCAGGTATATTTTATTTATTTATTTTGAGTGTCAGAAGAGAACAACAACAACGGGTCAGACCAAGCGTTATCCAGCTTTGTATTTGGTATTTTACAGTGAGTATAAGCAGAACGTAAGGAAAGACCAATAACAGGCATGGTGTACTTGGTGTTTTTCCATCTAATACTCTTCCAGTATAGACAACTTTCTTGTCAGGGTATCCGCTGAGCTAACTTACCTACCTAGTAACTCCCAAAGGGAGATCTTGTCTATTTGTGGCCTGTAACTCTGAACCTGTGCAATTGTTTACATCTACAATGGTCTTTGTTGATGATTTACACAAATTTGTTAGTTGGGAACTACTTCCATGTATACTTTTATGGTAAGAGTAGAGCACAGTACTATTCAAACTTGCATGTTTTCTGCCTGAAAATTCAGAGGGATGATTATATGTGCAGCTCATCTACAAACAAATCTTTGGCTACTTACTTGAAAGTCAGTTCCTGAACCTTCATCGTGAAAGCATTTGTAGAGAGCCCATAAAGGAGTGAGAATTTACATGTTAACCTTAACAGTACTGGGGCTCTCATTTATAGCTCTTGTGCTACAGGGAAGTGTTCTTACTAAGCCTTCCACCTTAAATCTGTATCGTTAAATTTAGGAGAGTGACTCACCACGTGCTACAGCTTGACTTGCTATGCAAATCTGCTGTCTGGCACATCCAGGATTATTTTGTCGGTGTTTTGAAACTGCTTGTGTTTTTTTCACAATGCTTTTGCAGTACCTAAGTTGGACATCTCCCTTGATTTTCAAGACACTCCTTAAGCTTCAGCTGCCTAAGCAGAAACTCCTGGACTAATTTTGATAACAGTTCTTATACAGGAATTAGGGAATGAGCATCTTTGGATCGGAGGTATATTGGTAGGAAAGCAGATGAGCACATGAATTTTTCAACCAGAAGAGAACTTTGGGGAGGTCTGGGGCAGTAAGGGAATGGAGCAGTGGTGGAAAAACTCATGTCTGGGAGGAAAGGTCACTACTGGGTTGTTCCTTCCCTATGGGACAAGGCATGGAGTCTGATACACTAAGAAATTTTGGGAACTGCTGTGGAAAAAGCTGCAAAAATATCAGGGGCACAGTTTGTGTAGTGCTCCTGTTTGTGCAGGGTGCTGGGGTTGGACCTCAGGAATATTCTACCTCATGCCCAAATGTCCCCTACGTGTGTTTGAAGTAGAGACATCTATTTCTTCAGATTAACAGATGCTGTTCTCTTACCTGAGTAGCACTAACAAATTTATCATCAGTGGATTTTCTTGTTTTGTTTTTGTTGTTGTTTTGCTGAATACTGTTAGCAATCTGGTTTCTAATTTTCCCTTGCTTTGGTGCAAATAACTAAGAGTTGCTGGAAAGTGATGTGAGGCAAGGGTTGTGTTAGTAAAGCCACCAGTCTAGGGAGGCAACCTCTCCCACATGGCTCCCAGACTGATTAGTCTCGTAGCACCTTAGATCAGGCAGTCCTATACCATTTCATTCTAGTAGATGTGTTGGAAATACTAATGATGATGCATTTGCAAAAAAATTTAATGATCTGCTTCTGTATTTTTGCTAATGTTGCATGTAAAGGCAGCCTCTTGGCTTCTGCCTTGCTTGCAGGAAAAGGAGTGAACATGCATACCTTAATGGAGATCAGCCCAACAATGAGAGGGAGGAAAACCATTTCTTCTCCATCCCAGCTCTGCTTGCCATTCACCTCTATTTTGCCTTTCAGTTTCCATCGCTGGCGACCGTAACGCATAAAAATCTGAGAAAGAAAAGTCCTCTCATTATCTTGAGAAATCTACTCTCTTGCTGCACAAGTATCAGAAAGAGAATTGGGGAAAGGGGCTGAGATAGGTTGGAAGAGTTAGTGCTGTAGGTGCTGCCCTTCTGCTTCCCAACAAGCCAGGAGGAAAAGGCCCATGCATGCACGTGACAGGGGAAAAATGAATTGATGATCAAGACAGCTGTGAAATGCAGGTTGAGGGAACCTGTAAGCAAGCTGCTGCAAGTTCCTTGCAGGTGCAGCTCTTGATGTTTTCAACTGGAGCACTGCAGTGACCTGAGATATTGACACAGCTTCACAGCGTGTAGCACTGGGGTCTCGAGAAATGGTGTTTCTGTGTCTTTCTGCTGCTCTGCTTGATGATTGAGTAAAGCCTCAGCATCCAGTAAAGGATGCTTGCAAGGACTTCTTCAATTTGATCTGCATGCGTGGGATGGGGTATATACTTTTTTTTTTTTTTTTCCCCTGGAAGTATTAGAAATGTTCACCAAGAACAAGATGGTGAGAAGCATGCCCTAATTCTGGGAGAAATAGGGCTTTTTTCTTGTTTATTTAATAAAAAAAAAAAAAAAAAAAAAAAAACAGGCTTGTAGTTCATGGAGTAGCTAACACCCAGTGCTCCAAATATAATTTTCAGGTCTTGTGACCGATGTCCTAATATAGGCAGACAGAGAGAGATCTGTAATGTTTTTCAGAGAGTTTACAGGAGAGCTAACAGCTGTTCCTTGGCGTGTAGATGTCCCTAAGTTTTATTCACCATGGAGTACAAAGTGACAGAAATTTGCCTCTCATTTAATTATTTTTGCTATCAAACCAGAAACCAAGGGTGACATACCTCATACTGATCCCCGGGGCAGAGCCGAGCGAAGCCAGCCAGTCCTGGGAAGGAAAGAGGGAGCAGCGGTCAGAGTGGGTGGGCAGCCCCCCCAGGATACCCCCATCCCTCCCGGTGCCAGGCAGCTGCCGTGCTGCGACAGGAGAGGGCAGCAGCCCGCACCCTGCAGGGATGTGTGGGTTTTCTTTCCTCTATTTTATACCAAAAAAATAATAATAATAAAAAAAAATAATTGCATTGTGGTTTCATGCATATCAAAGGTTCGCACTTCCCAGCATTTTTTTTTCCTCCAGGCATAATTCTTTTTTTTCTATAATAATTATATATATAAAAAAGAAGAAACAAGCTTCCTGACGTCATCTGGCTTCAGAAACCGAGCTTAACGCCCTGACTATCGTGAGGCGTAGGCGAGCTGCTGATTATCATGTGGTGCTTGCTGCTTAGCCCAAATCAGACCGAGCTATACATTATAACACAGGCTCCTTGGTGGAACTTCTTAACAGAAACACAGTGAGAGGGGCTCCTTCTGCTTGGTGCATCCGTAACAGGCTCATTCCCACACTACCTGAGTGTCTTTCAGCAGTAACTACACCAAGAGCCGTGGCTGACATCTGTAACACAAGATCTCTCCTGCCTTTCCCCAGAAGGGTGAGGTAGTGCAGCAAAGCACTTGTGGCATACGTTTGGGAATTTTTCGGAAAAGGATGTCACGATGCTATTTCTATACTGGCACTGTGAGTACAAAATGGAAAGTTTCCTAGGGCTTGTGGCTCTCTGTAAATCCCAGGGAAGTGACAGCCCCCATCCTGGCCTTGCGATCTGCTCTTCTGCGGGAAGCAACGGGCTGTTCTCCAGTCACCTCATCCTCTCCCTCCACAGAGGGAATCCCTCCATCCTCACAGATCTCCTCATTTGGTAGCTATTGCACTTGTTTTGCTATTAAAAAATAAATAATTACTTCATTTTCTGTAGCTGCTCAGTCTTACTGCAGCTGCAGATATTTTTGTAATCTTGTATCAGGGTGCCTGCAGTGCTGCAACACCCAGAGAAACCAATCTGCAAACATTCACAAAGTCATGGCACAGATGAGAATTACATTTTCTGGGGCCTTTGGACTGCATTTATCCTAAAATACCATGGCTGAATATACATGTGTGTGTGTTAAAATAAACACAAGGTGAACCCTAGTGTTGGCTTTATTTACTGGGCTACAGCTGGGCCGTACACAGTCATGGCCAGTCCGTGTGATCTGCTGATCCTTCTCTTTCATTTCTTTGACCAAAAAACAGTTTTCTTCACTCATCTCATTGCTTAGCAGAACAGAGAGGCCTTTGCTCAGGGCTCATATTACCCATTCCTTTCTAATTTATTTACTGTTTATAAATAATTTAAACTTACTAGCGCTCTGCTGCTGCTCCTCTCTCCCTAGGCATGCTTTTATAAGGGAATTTGATCTCTGCTGGGACACATCACTGGGAGCATCTGAGGAAAACAAAAGGCCCTTTCTCTGCTCGGTGGATGGGGAGGGGGGGACGCAGCTTGGGGCTCCGTGTACGGGGTGTGTGGAGCCAAGGCCTGCGTGTGGTGACCAGCCCTGCTAGGCACCGTTTTGGGCAGGGGAGCGCAGATAGTGGGGTGGGAGCTGGGTCTAGAAATGGGCTCTCGAGGCTGTTGGTGCTGCTCAAGGCTCTCCAGCCTGATGTGGGCACAGTGGATATGTACTGTCACAGGAAACATGCTTTTGGTGACTCTTGGGGACCCAATGGTTCTGTTGTACCACTTCAAGCAGCGTGGCTTTGTAAAGGCAGCATCCTAGGCTTGCAGTGCAGGTGGGATGAGAAGTTGCTCCCAAGAGGTCAGTATAATTAATTAGGGGGCTGAGCCATTAGGTGGCTGTGGTGAAGTGTCAGGGCGCATCCTTTGTGTGCAGGGCTGCCTGAAGGCTCTTGCAGCATGCACAGCTCTGCTTGGGTGCAGGAGGTGGGGCAGGTGGGCTCTGGTGCTTGCTCTGGGATGGGTGTTGCAGAGCCCCTGGGATGTTGGACGAGTGTATTACTCTGAAACGGCTGAATTTTTCACCTTCTGCTACCCTGGAGCTTCAAAGAGGCGTAGGGACACTTCCCTGCACATCAGAACAAGGCGTACAGTGACTTCTATGGCCCCATACTGGGTTTTCCTATTTAATTTCAACACCTGACTAATCCTGAGCAGCAATCTAAGCCTGCTGGCAAGATTATTATCTCCATTTTGCAAAATGATTAGACTTCTTAAAATTATATATAACACAAAAGCAGCGTGGGCCCCTTACTTCCTGACAGTGCTGTGTGGGTTGGCTTGCTTTCAGCGTGTGCAATGGAGGACACAAAATAAAAATAACTGTCACTGGAGTGGCTGGGAACAGATAAGCTTGGGGGAGAGGAACACTTTGATTTTAACATTAGATCCTAACACTAGATGGATGTGCCACAGTGCAATGAAAAGGGGAAGCCTGCTACGTGATCTCTAGGCTTCTGTGCTAGAGCTGCTCTGAGCTGTGCCAACAGCAAAGGCTGGATTGTCCTACTAGATTCCTGTTCCTAGGCGAAATTATCTAGGCAGAAACCATAGGTGTCCTAATTAGAGAATACCTAATGATATGGCATTTCTCTCTGCTATTTTCTAATTTGGGCCCCTTCACATTATGAGAACTGTGTTTAGAAGTAGTTGTTGCCTGTGGTTTGTTCACTGCTTCTGCACCTGAGCACAACACCCTGGCTTCTCTGCAGCCCGTGGGCTTTGCTGGAGGACTTGGTCATGGAAGAGAGAAAAAGGTCCAGACCTTTTCAGCCCAGTCACTTGTGGTGCCCCAATGTCTTCTGCAACAAGTCCTGCTCCCATGAACTTTATGTTGCGCTGCATTCACAGCACATAAGGGACACGACCTGGTGCAGTTCCCTTCCTGCACTGCATGGCCTTGGGTCTACTTCACTGCACTGCTGTGGGATTCTGTATACAAATATTTGGCTCCATCTCTGTGTGTTCGACTGGTAACTTTGCATTTGTGCATCTTTGCCTTTCCAGTAACTGACTGGGGGCTTTAAAATGCCAGGTTTGGTGCTAGGGGACCTACAAAAGCTGCTGCACTTGTTTTCTCTATGATGGGAGCATGGAGTGACTAATTTTAACTTGATCTAAGCTAGATCACATCTCATGCACTGCAACAGTTGGACACAACTAACTCCCATGTGTGACAGGGCAGGCAGAGGCAAAACCCTGTGTAAGATTTGTGAGCCCTAAAAAGTCTATCTCCAGTATTTCAGATGGAGAATTACAAGTGCATGAATGTTTAGATCCTGATTTATTTATTTATTTTTATTTTTACAGGACTATTTTCATGCCAGTGATTATAGAGGGAAATGGAATCCAAAAAAGATCCCCCCCATGATCACTTCTTTAGGACATTTAATGTTACAGGAATAACAGCACTAGTGATGCCTAGTGATTCAAAGCAATGGGCTTCAGGTAAAACTGATTCCACATTATTAAAACCCATAAAGACAAGGAGTAAACCATGCTACCACAGAGTTACCTAGGTCTTTCAGTGGTAAACTACCCTTGGGTCTGCTTTTTTCCATTTGCTTAAAGAGGTAGTAGTGAAAGTTGGCAAAAGTAAAGGAAGTGGAAACAGACACTGTCAAATTAAGAAAGTGTTTTGAACTTCAGCTCTGTGGTATTCACATAATTTCCTACCCATCTTCTTAAACGGTTGTGGAGATAGAGGCACAAGGTGCAGCAGCCTTCAAAACTGAATCACTTTGGCTGTTGGGAAGGGTGTTTAGGGAGCCTAATTAGCACATCTCCCTTGAAAACAAAAATCATCATCTCGAAACTCTCCGTAAGCTTTGATGTTCCCAGCTCTGGGAACCTTTCCAGTGGGCAGAGGTGCAAGTCTGGGTTTGAAGGCTCAGCAATTGGTGCGGTGAGGGAAAAGCACACCTATTATAAGTCCATATAAAACTAGTGCATCTCAGTGCCCTCTGTAACGTACACAGACTTCTGCTGTTCAAAGAAAGGAAATGTGAAAAGGCAATTACCTTTCATCTTGATGCAAAACTCCCCCAGTAGGTTTTCCAGCTCTGCTTCTATGGTACACATGTTCTGTGTTGAAAGACAGAATAGTGAGGTCAAATAAACCCTCTTTTTTTGTTGTTTTGTTTTTTTTTTTCCTTTTTTAAGGTCTATTTGGAAATAAAAGTTTCTGTTACGCAGATGAAGGGTGTTTTGCAATTAAACCAATATGCCAGAGCTGTTTAGCTGAATCTGGCCCTAAAAACAGCAGCTGAGCTATGCCTGCTTGCACCGAAGCTGAATGTAACCCCGCGCACTTCTGTTGCTCTCTAATCCCTGTGTTGGCAACACCCGGTTGTGGCCCTTGCAGTGTAACCTGGTCACTGTCCCAGTCCTTTCCAGCCAGGATGTGTGCCAGCAGCAGCTCCGCGCCAAAGTGGCTCCTAGCATGTCATTAATCTCTCAAGAAACGTGAACTACGTTAAGGAAAAAAAGACTGTGGGAGGTGGGTATTGGACCCCTTCCAGCTCTTCCTTCAGATCGAGGAAGGATGCCACAGTTTGTGTGCTGCGATTAGATCCTTCTTAATTTACTGCCTGTTTAATAAAATGGGTGGTGATCAGAGCAAGTAATACTGGATGGGATGCAGCAGGTATCTGCTTGTTCCAGCCAACCTGCCACCCTGGCATCTGCAGGGTAGGAGGGAGCATATATAGCTGCAACGTATGTAGCTTAGGGGCAGATTTACTGCTTAACGTGTAGTGGTTCCTGGGTATAAACCTGGCCTTTTGGATCATAATTATTATTTCAAGGAGCTCTTTGGGCTCATGTCATCCATCTTTATATCAGGCATTCACCTGAGGATAAATTAAGAAAGAATAATCCTGCTTCACCAATTTTGCTGTTAACCCCTTTATCTCATTGAAGCCAGTGGCAAAGTTTCTGTGGCCTCCAACAGTGCAAGAGCAAAACAGTTGAACTAATGAAGATGTACCTCTGTGTACTCCTTGTAACTCCTGTTGATTTCAGTTAAACTCTCTCGAGCTGCTTTGCTGGCAGGAGACATTGCAAAGGCTTGCTTCATTTTGCTTGCACCATCACAGAGACGTCTTTGGATACAATAGGCTTCATAAAGCTCATCCACCTGGAGAGAAAAACAAAGATGTATTTGGAAAAAAAAAAAAAAGCAAAACAAAAAAATCAACATCTGAGAACTCAACAAAATAAAGGCAGCAAACTGAAGTAGTGTGTGATGCAAGGAAACGAAGCCAAACAAGTGGTAAACCATTAGATCCAGGGCAGGCAAATGAATCTGTGATACTCTTACAGTTGACACCATGAGATAAAAATAACTTCTGCTGCAAAAATCTCATTACAGCAACAGTAGATGCTGTCAGCAATTCACCTGCTTGCCCTGTGCATGCCTTTTAGCTATTGCTGCTGCCTTCTTCCCCCCAGTCTGGGACACGTGCAATTGCTGCCTTATGGCAGGAATGCAGCAAGCTTCTGAAATGTATTGGTGTGGAAGAGCTCTTTCAGAGGCACGTGCAACGTCCAGACTGCTAAATGGGAGCAGACACATTAAAAGGCACGTTTATCAGGGCCAGCAATGCCTTCAGGATTGCTAACACCAGCCGTGGGTTGAGACTAATCCTCCAGAACTAGGAGATGTAGCCAGAATCAGGAAAAGCTTAGGAACAGCTGATGTCAAATTAAGAAAATATTTTGAGCTTCAGCCTCACAGCCACTCACATAACTTTTTAGTGATCTCCTTCAGTCCTTGGCATGATGTAGACTCCAAACATTTAGTAAGCAGCTCTGGAGGTTCTGCAAAACTTGGTTACATGCAATTTATAGTCTCATCCGGATCTAGCTTCAGAGTGTGATGGATTTATGTGTCTCATGCTTTGGTTTTCCTTTTTCCTCTAATCCCTGCGCTGAAGGTACATGTTTACTCCATCCAAACTGTTCAGTGAGAGTCTACGATGGGATAACTTCATCTATATGAAGTTAAGCTGCTAGATACAGGAGACATAGGCTTTCTAATCTGACTTTATCAGGGTGAGGAGGGAGAAAAGAATAGAGAAAGATACATCTTCTAGCAACCCTTCTAAGATAGGATGGTATCTGTTTTTTACTTAGAATAACTGTTTCCCTTCATTCTCTCTGACACCAAGTGACTGCCCCATGCACCCTGGTCCTCACTAGTGGATTTTCACAGCAGAATTTCTCTCAGTGAAAACCTTCCAGTGCCTTGGCTTCCTGTCTATAACTGTTTTTCTGCATTAGGAATAATCCCGATATGACCATCCAGGTGTGCTGTGATTCCCACTTTTCCGAGCCTGCTTAACCTCCAACAGAAAGTGTCACCTCCTATTTGGAGCAGGACTGCTCTTCCTGACAGCTTCAAAGCATGACACTGATTTTTACAAGGTGAACTTGGACTCCTGATGGCTGAAGCGCCTAATGAGGGATCTCCAGCTGACATGGGAGCTGCTTTGCAGGTGAAGCAGTGCATCAAAGAGTAATAGAAGCTTTGGCAGCATTTTGCCATTTCAAAGTTACAGGGAAAAGCTTCTTGGAGCCATATCCACCACTATTTCCCTTGCAAGTCCACACCATTCCCCATGCTAAAGACAGCTCCTGTAAATAGTCGTCCCTTGGTATTTACTCCTGCTGTTAGTGTGGAGCATTGACCCAGTGCTGGCGTCCTGTGTGGTGGGGACAGACTTATCCACTCTGACAGACGAGCTCTCTGCTCCTCACATCTCATTTTAGGACAGCGGGTGCCCTCGTTCAGCACTGGCACAGCTTCCTGCCAAAAGAGCCCTCCTCTGGGGCTTGCTCGAAAACACCAGTGTGCCACCACCTGAGCAAGACTGTGAATTTTAAGGCCATGCACCTCTGCTCTTCCTGCCTCTGTTGCTGTGGGTTACAGAAAGTGAACTAATGTGCTCGGCTGACCAGCGTTACCTCTCGCGTTTGGTGCTTTTCGTTCCTATTATAAGCACAGAAACCATTAGCTCTGAGCAGCTGGAGTGGGAAGGACGTGAATGGAAATGTTCTTCAAGCAGTAATTTTGCCATTCATGTTGCCAGCAAGAGAGAAGGTGGTTTGGGGAACAAATTTTCAGCCTATTGCCTGGTGACTTTTTCAGCTCTGAGAGTAAGAGAACATGAAATTAAAAGGTTTGGATGGGCTGTCATAATTGGAGCACTTCAAGCTGCATGAACGCTTTTCAAACAACTCTCAAAAGACATTTCATCCGTCAGAAATAATTCATTCTTTTGTCAGGCTCAGGAAAGTAACTAATAGCTAGCAGATATGTTTATAACCGAGAGAATACATGCTGTGGATTTTGTCCAGCTCGAAAATGTATTGGTATAAATCATGAGTACCTCTACTGGGTATGATAGACTCGTTCTCACCGATGTAATCAAGCAGATGTGGGCCCACCAAGCCACGCAGAAGCAGCATTAGCAGTGAAAACTGGGAATAACTCCAGTCTAGCCATGGTGCACGGTGGGAACAACTGCTGAACTAGATTGTTTTCAGCTGTAACGCCATTTCTACCTATAGTTTGAAAATAAGCATGCTGTGAGAGAGACTTTCCCCAGCAGCTGTCTTATCCCATGTTCTCTGTATGGCTGAAAACACATGGGAGCATCACGGGGCATGGAGAACAGCTGGACATCAGAAGCTGCAAACCCTTTCTTTGTCTCTGACCCCCAAGTGACTACAGCAAAAATACTGAATGTGGGAGAGGCTTTGTCAGCACTGGAGTGGAGGGGCACCTTTTTGGCCAAGGGTTTGTTTTCCTCATAACGTAAGAGCTGGTGCAGAAGACAGATGCTAAGGATGCTTGTTACCTTGCTGATGTGGAACTCCAGCCTCCTCATGTATCGCTCCACTGCTTTGATTTGCTGGAGGAAACAGAGAAGCAGAGGGTGAGGCACAACTGAATGCAGCAGCAGGACATCTCTACTAGCTCTGCTCATGTCTTTGGGTCCCCAGGAGCCTGAGAAACTCCTTAAAACGTGCAGGGTTTCATTGCCCACAAATCCAGAATCGACTACAACACCTTACTATGATTAATCTGCTGATGAAAAAATTGATCTCATTGGCATCTATATAAAAAAAACTTTATTAAACAAACAAACAAAAGCTTTCTGTTGGGTCTGCATAGGTTTTCCTTGATGAAAATTTCCTAGTTTGTTGTTGTTGTTAAGGAATGTGAGACTTTTTGGCTTGGAAAACTGTATTTTTTCAGTACTTTGAAAACCTGTATTAAAACTGATGAGGTTTTGCATTTCAAAATGCATTCTTTTCCTGAATAAGCTGTTTTTGAAAACAAAAACAAGCTTGGTATTTTGACTGAAAAAAGATAGATTGCTCAGGAAACTTTTTTTTGAAATCCTTTCTTTTGTTTTACTCAGAATTTCCCAGGGGGAAGAATATTTTTAATTTTTCAACTTGTTATTCCCCAGCATTGGCAGGAGCAGGGATGGGAGAGGACTGTGCAGGCCAGATCCGTCCTAAGGGGCAGCTACCAGCAAGCCCACCTCTAACTGAGTACTCCTGTGAAGCATTTCTCCTGCTCTTTGTGAATGCCCAGATCGTGAAGCTTTGATGGTGTTGGCCTGATAGATTTGGCTGAGAGAGTTCTCCCATGCCAGCTCCATACATCATACAACCATTAACCCTTCTTGCAACAAGTGTCCAAGAGAGTAACGTACCTTATCTAAATCATACAGGACTCCCTGCAACAGAGAAGAAGAAATTGTGATTTATTTTGCAGCATAAGAGCAACAGAGAAACATGAGAAAGCAATATTTATAAGTGAATAGAAATAGAAAATCAAGATCTGGAAGGGACAAACAGCACACATGCAAATTCCCGACTTCCCGCTCCCAGCCTGTGACTGCTCCAGTACCTCTGGAAGATTGTAGTGCATCTACCCAATAAAAAGCGTGACACGTACCAGGCGTGAGTTTCTTCTCATGTCTTTTAACTGAGCAGTCAACTTGTCCAGCTCTGTCTGGTGAACTTCCAGATACTCGCTGTAAACACAAACCAGAGAAGGGAGGCGTGAGCTCTGCGGCACGTAACAGAGACGATTGCTGAGAGTCGTAAAAGGAAATCTCTGCAACAAATGGCTTTTCTCCCTGGGTGCGCATTCAGACAAAAATGCATTTGCATTGATCTGTCCTAAAACCAGCTTCCCTGCTGCCTTTCAGAGAAAAAGTAGGAGCCGGTTATTTAGCTGTGTATAAGAGCTCGGTGTTTTCCTGTCACTGAATGACCACTTCCAAGTAAGCTGTCTGCTGCTTAGTTTACAGGCTGGTGCCTTCCAATCTCTGCTCTCCTATCTGGCTGGTAAAAGCCCCATTATCATCTGAGACGTTATCTTAAGGGTGATACAAGCCTCTGATATGACACAAGGAAATTTGGAGAAAAAAAAAATCCAGTTGAAATCCCAGCCCTTGGGATCTTTCCCATCAAACTTAGTGGAATTGGGATTCTTTCCAATTTCCCCTACAAATAATTCCAATCAAAAGTATTACAATGAAGACTGCAACAGGTGCATTCTTCTAGTCTATGATTAAGGATCTCTGCTCCTGTGAGATGTCATTCTAGGCTCTAAAATGTCACAGAGCTTCAGTCGGCAAGCACAATAAAGGCTCTTACTCCAGGCCATTCTTCAGGGCTCTGTAGACTTCCTCCATCCTTTTGGGCTGGGGCTCCTTGGGGGTGGTGCTGTTCTTGTGGCCCAAATTATGCATTTTCTTCACCTTCGCTTGGGGCTTCTTGAGCGCAGAGGAATTTTCAATAAAAGAGTTACACCTGCAAAGCGAACATTAAAGAGGGGAAATCCCTGTAAATCATAACGATCTCAAAGAAGCATAGCTTAAAGAAATCTTCCTGATATTATCTCTGCTAGCAGAAGCGATTCTGCTTATGTGCCTGCCAGTTAAAGGGCTGTGTTTGTTTACAGGTTGAGAGGTCTGAGCAGCCTGGGACTTGCTGTCAGCTTTTGATGTGCCAGTTGCCTTTCTGAGATATGGATGCCGGCTTAAGTCCCAGGCTCAGCAGCCCTTTCTCTGTCTCATCCCATGCCTGCCCTGCCTCACGTCACCATAAAGAGGCTAAATACAAAGGGGAGCCCAGATAATATCAGGCATAAAGCCTGAGGGCTCCTAAGGAAGACTGGGGGGTGGTTAAACGTGTGCCTGGAGGGCAGCATCACGCTGCTGGTGTTGAGCACGGACTGCAAATAGAGGAGAGTTGTGCTGCATGTAGGTGCCTCCTTGGACTCTTTTCTCTAGATCAGCATCCAACAACCATCACTGACCTGAGCTGGCAGTGTGGAGGTGCACGAGTGGAAGCTAATTATAAAGTAGCCTCTGGGGTTTCTTTCTGGCTTGGGAAATGCCTGGCTCAAAGCCTGAAGTCCTGTCTAGCCAAAAGGCGATGCACGGGAGGGTTCTGCCCCCAAGCTCTGCCCCCCCTCCCAGCAGGATGCTGAGGCAGCCCCCCGAAGGAAGGGGACTCGCTTTGAATTCACAGGGAAAAATGACTTTTAGGTAGCGGCAGTCTGAAGCTGGGGGCGGTGGGAAGCGTAGCATGCTTCTGTGCACTTTACGTGTGAAAAGATCGCTGTATAAATTAGGGAATTAAAGTTGTTCTCTGAAATGTTCTCACAACTCTGAGGCATGTGAGGAAGCCCTGCGTTAAGGGTGGAGGGGAAGTATTTGGTAGTTAAGACTCAGGGTAACAGCTTGATTATACACACAATATAGAAAGATATTTTAGCCTAGGAAACTTTTTTCCACCTTTTCCACCTTCCAAACCCCAGCACCTCTTTAGCACCTGATGCAGAAGCTTCCCGTCAAGAGCACAGTACTTGCCTGGAGCGTCTCTCTTGAAGCCCGCTGAAGCCAGCAAAGGACTGGCTCCTGATAATCCCATTAGGACCTCCTGGAGAGAATGAATGTGATCCTATTGACATGATTTCTGGGAGCCGGGAGGATATTCCTGAAAAACAACAGAAGGAACATCAGGGTAAAAAGGTGGGCAAGAAGCACGCGGTAAGGCAAGGACTGCCCAGCATCCCGGGGGTGACCCAGCCCCATCAGGGGCTGTGAGACAGGGCACAAACATGACTCCCTGCTCCAGCCTACAGAGATCCATCACTCTCTTTTCAGAATAAACCACAAGAGTGCCTGCAAGGATGTTGAATTTTCTTGGAAAACAGCAGAGATGGTGAGGGTTTTACATGTTCTGTTTCACACATTGAAGGGGGCCTTGGCAACACGAGAGGAAGGTCTTGGTATGTGTGTGTGCTCATTTCCAGTGCCCAGCTCAGCATTTGCACTCAGCCTCAGTTAAGGAATCAGCAAACTAAGGAGGAGACAGTGGTTCTCCATCCTGCTGGACCCACCACCTCCATCTTTCACAGGGTGCTAATGCTGTCATGCTGCGATATGCATGGAGAAATTAGGCCAGCTTGAAAATAACCAAAAAAAAAAAAGAAAAAAGATTTTTTTCCCCATCTATTTTAAAAGGCAGCCCTGGCATGTCCTGTACCCCCTGTTCATTTCACCTCCAACAGCTGTGGATGAGGTTGAGGCTGAGACAGGACTGCATAGCAGGGCAAGAGCTGCCTGCAGGCAGCAGAGCTGATGCTTTGTGAAACTGCAGCCTGCGGGGCTGAGCGGGTGCATTTAAAGCAGCCTCACGTTTAAAGCAGTCCCCACAGATGAAGAACAATCCAGAGCTGAGTGCCCCGAAAGGAGCCACTTGTGAGGACCACGGATCTGCAGCATGAGCCTTCACAACCAGATTTATTTATTGAAGATAAGGAGCAGAGCTACATGGTGCCTCCACGGCAAACACTCACTGGAAAAGCAAATATGTGGGGAAATGTTGTGTGCAGTCCAGTTGTGTTTAATTTGTAATGCTAGGCTGGACAAATACTCTCTGAGGTGGCGTTAGGCATCGTGGTAAGCTACTTCTCTCTGGAGAGGACTGCATTGCCCAAGAAGAGCTGCTTTGTCAGGAATATTTCTGTAAGAGCTCTGCCAAAAATATTTCTTCCAGCTCCAGAATTGTCAGCGCCATTAGCAATGCGAAGTTCTCCCTGTTACACAACCCAAACGGCATCAACCTCCCAGCTTCGGGAGTGAGAACTGGATCGGTTCCCGTGTGACTGGGCAACCCTCACAGATACGAGCTTGGCTTTGTGATATGTGTATTTAAGTTGAATATTCTGGTCTGCTGTGACCAGTAGGTAGCTGTGATCTGCCCGGGTAGTCCTGGAAAGCTCTCCTTGTCCCCAGTCAGCCTGGGGAAGAACAGCCGCCAAGATCTCTCTCATGCTGGCTGCGCCAACCAAAACCTCCTTGAATGATCCCCAGGCACGTTTGGGGGATTAACGCGGGCAAGAGGCTATTCCAGTAAGCAGCCTGGATGTGGCCAGACCCCATTTTGGGAGACCTTTACAGCTGAAGGCCATTCCAACCTGGCTGGCCCCGCTCCTGGAGCACAGAGGCAGGCATGACGGGTTTACCCCACTGTCACTCATGGGAGATTCAGCCCCACGATCATCAGCTGTTCCTCGGGAAATAAGGGCAGCAAGAGCAAACCTGAAACCAGGTGCTAGTCCTGACCACACTGGCTATAAAAACACAGGTACTTTGGATTCAAAACTCATATAAAAATGCTAGCATCTTCCGCACAGTGAATATCTTCTGTGCTAACATGAATGAAGGGCAAAGGTCTGAACAAAACCTTTGAGCGTTTGCATGCACACTGGTAGCGTTAGGTTTTCTTTTGCTTTGGGGAAGCTTAAAAACATAATAATCTCAAAAAAGGAATTTACTGATTTATTTATTTTACTTATTTTGCCGAAGTGCTCAGGAGGCTTTGCAACGCTTTAGTAGTGAAGCCTTTCCACACAGTACCAAAAGGAAGTGTGGATGAAGTGCAATTGAAATGCAAACTGGAGACCTGCCTGGAGCTACTTGTGCTTTGTTTTTGCATAAAATGTTCAGAAGTCAGAGCCCAGATTGGCTTATGCTCTCTCTCTATAAATATATGTTATGTATAATCTTGGCGATTAATGTATGTTGAATTTCTGTACAGCAGAAAGCTGTGATAAAAGGAAGTAACGGAGTCAGAAATGATGAAATCTCACAGTTGGGTTCAATTACTTTTCAGTTCATCAGGTTAGAGGTTGCCTCCACTGTACAAACACAATCTGTTCTTAAGATTTAAACTTACATTGCCGACATCTCAGACATTTCCAGCTGACCTCATGCTGCTGCACTGACCCTCTTTAGCAGCAGCAGCAGCAGCAGCCTTTTAGCCCAGATTCGCATGGGCACCGTGTCCGTGGATTATTTATGATACTGACATCTAGCAAATATGCTTTGGATGATGAGTATTTGTCACATTGTTGGAAAACACTTTGTTGAGGGGGATTTATTTTCCTGCCTGTTAAACCATTCATAGGCCTCTGTGCTAGCAGCAATAGATCAACTAAACAAACCTACCTCTGAATTTAGTACTAGGGCTGTTTGCTGATTATATGCATATATGTAGTCACTAGGGTAATTTCAGTAAGGCTCATCACACAAGGACTGACTCAGATCTGCTGCTGAACTGACCGGTGTCCCTACAGATGCACACCCCAAAGGGGATTTGGGGGATGCTCCAAAAAAGTGACTATCTCAGTCCATTTTCAGTAGTTATCTGATATAATGCTACCATCTTCTAGATACAACATGCATTTTTCTCTCAATACTAAAGCATGCTGTACATTTCAAATGGTATTAAAAGCTTTTGAGATCTGAGACTTCTGCCTCATCAGTGAACCCAACAGGTACACTTACATTTTAAAATCTATGCAGTTGAAGAACAACTGATGTTTCATTTCTTAAAAACCACCACTCTGCTTACTAGCGAATATAAACATGCGCTGTGT